CTAATGAGATCAGATGCCTAATCTGCCCCACTCTGAGTTCTGCTGGTGTCTTTGCCTTCCCTAAGGCTGTTTATAATTCCTTGGCTTTGGTTTTTCCAAGTATCTTCAAATTTTCTTCTTCTGATAGATTCCAAATTTTGTTTGTATCTGCCCTCCTCCACTCCCAGAATTCATGTATTGAGCTCACAAGGTCCAGTGCTGGAGATATGGCCATATTTGGAGACATAGCCCCGAAGGAGGCGCTTATAGTAAAATGAGGTCATACTGGTGGGAGTTAATCTACAACTTGACTGCTGTCCTCATAAGCTGCAACTGAGAGACCATGGAAAGGCATTGAAAGAGGACAGATGTCTGCAAGGCAGAGAGAGATGTCCCAAGGCACCAGTACTATGAGAAAGTGACTCACTGTTATGTACACCTCCATCCATGGCATTCCCTGTGTTAGCCTCTGTCACTGAGCTGAGGTTCTCTGCTCAGAACTGACCGGTATGGCTCTGGGCCTTGAATCCATCACACTCTTGGAGAAATGTTGAACAGTCACACCTTCTGAGTATGAGTTGTAGAGCTGGTGGTCAGTGACAGGAAACCATGTCTCCAAAATACATGGAACTGAAAACTGGGTACTGCTCATGCCCCACCTCCAGAGCCGTGCGTACCTCAGAGTTGGCTAATTTCGTGCTTCTCGCCTTCCATCAGGAGCAGCTCCCCACTCCTTCCCCTTCCCACTGCCCAGATTTCACTGTGCTTTATGCCTGTTGAAGATTCCCTTCTTCATCCACTACTGCTCATCCAAGACCTTTGTTTGCTTCATGAGTTTTTGAAAATTTCCCCCGTGATTTGAGAGTGCAGAGACAAGAATTCTTTTTCCCCTTCCTCTGAAACTTGACCTCTGAAACACTATGGAAATTCTCCAAACCTTTCCCCCTCAATGCCAGAATTCTTCCCCACCCACCAAACTATATGCTACACAGAACCCTAAGATATGAAACACAACTCTACAAGAACTATAGGTATGCATGGCAGGGTACACCTTTGATCCCGGTGCTTGGGAGGTGGGGGCAGAAGAATCAGGAGTTCAAGACCAGCCTGAGCTACATAGCTGCCCTGGACTACAGACCTCAAAAACTTGAGAAAACAATTGTGATGAAATTCAGATAATGTAAATTTAAGTATTTAATTTTAAACAAGTGGCTTGGCCTTCTGTGCACATACTGTTCCTGGGTGTCACTGGTGAATCTGTTGCCTCTAATTCTAGAACACTTTTATTTTATTTGTGTTTTGCCTGTTTGTATGTCTATGTGAGGATGTTGGATCCTGGAGTTACAGACAGTTGTGAGCTGCCATATGGTTGCTGGGAATTAAAGTGGGGTCCTTTGGAAGAGCACCCAGTGCCCTTAACCACTGAGTCATCTCTCCAATCCCTCTAGATCACTTTTATCACACCAAAATAAATCCCTACACCCACCCATTCAGCTATTATGTTCTTCCCCTAGCTCCTGGGAACCACAATTTTGCTTTCTGTCCCTATGGATTTATCAATTCTATCAATATAAGTGGAGTCACCCAATGTGTGGCCTGTTGTGTCTGTCTTCTTTCACTTCTCAACACTTTGACACTTAGCAGAGCTCTATCATGAACCAGGGCTTTCTTTTTATGACTGAATAATATTCCATTGTACAGCTAGAAAGCTGGTTATCTGGTCCTCTGCCGACACATACACAACTCTGCTCTGTTCAAATGCAAAGTGGGGTATTGAGCTCTTTTGCCTGCAGCTTTCCCCTGGAGGGGCCTTAAACACCTCCAGGGAGTGTGCTGTATCCTCCCAGTATCCAGGCATCCTTGGACAAAATGCTGATCTGTTTTCCTGGGTGGTTCTGTCTGGTCACAGAGCCTTCTGCAGGTGCTTTCTTTTACTGAGGAGTAAAAAAGTGAAAGAATCATGGGAGTGGAAGACAGTGGGCAGGAGAATATTTGTCTGGGTGCTTGCGGCTCTATCAGGTCTGCAGGTCTCCTTCACCCCAGAGGGCAGGCAGCCTGCCTATCAGCAAATTCAGTCATGCAGTGCTTTTTGTGACTTTACTGGTTGAAACTCAAGCCACGCCTGGGTAAGTTCATTCTGCACACACCAACGGTGCCAGACTGTCACGTCATCTGGTTTCCACGAGTTTTCTTTTGTCTTCCCATAGCATCTGCAATGGAATTTCCCCAGGTGTACACAAGAAGCTCTGTGAGCACGTGACTTCTTTCTAGAAAGAGATCTGTTCCCTGATCTCGTGCACAAAAGCAAGCAAGGCTAGGTGTGACCAATCAGAGGGCAGGGGCAGCTTTGGTTAGAATAAGCCTGCTCTGAAAGGAGCCTCTGCTGATGTCACCACAGGGAAAATGCTCAGCATAGAGGCCCTGGGACACAGCAGTTGGGTGGTGCAGATTCCCAGGCAGGAAGGCTTGGATAAGCTCAGCCACAGCCCAGGTATAAAGCCAGCTGGTTTGTGACAGCACCTGGGTGGGGAACAGTTGTTTGTCCAACTGGCACAGGGCTCGGCTTAGACCTTACTGGTTTTTGAATGGAGAAGGAGAAAGTCCAGCTGTTGAAAAGCAAACTTTCCGTGGGCTGAAGCCTCCAAAGTGCAGACTATCCTTGAAGGTAAGTGGAAACAGAGGTAGAGCACCTGCCTTTCTGACCTGGGGCAGCAGAAGGATGACTGTCCTGGAGTCTCCAGAAGAGGTTTCCGATGTGACTCTATGGTCTTCTCTTTGCAATCTCAGAGTTGTGCTGTGTCAGAGGAGTTTTGCCATTTGCTTTTGTCTGTTCAAAAAGCCAGTTTAGCACTTGGAAGGCGGAGGCAGGAGGCCATCCTTAGCAACACAGTGAGTTTGAGACCACTTTGAAAAAAATTATCTTTTATGGTTTTTAATAAAATTATTTATCTAATGAATGAATATTAAAAATGTATTACACCTGGGCATGATGGTACATACCTTTAATTCCAGAGACAAGCAGATCTCTGCAAGTTCAAAGACAGCCTGGTCTATATAGTGAGTTCCAGAACAGCTAGGGATATGTAGGGCGACCCTGTCTCAAAAAAGCTAAAGAGGAAAAACTTAATATTGCAATGGACCATATAAAATTTAGGGTCATGTGTTTTACCAGGCTAAAACAAGGAATTTAATAACTGATTAAGGAATAATGGTTCTAGCAACAGTATTTATTTATGAGTTTTCAAAGTGAACAAAATAAAAATAAATGGTACAGATCAATTTTAAATAAATGACACTTTTTCATTCTACAACTTAGTATGATACATATGTAGTGTGAATGTTCAAAGCAAATTGTCTGAAATTATTGATGATCTGTATTATCTTAATTTAAAAGTTAGGAACAAGAGTCTTGAACACAAGGGTGACATTACTTCCATTTCATCTGTTTTGAGGTTTTTTATTTTATTAGTACTGAGGTTTGAACCAAGGCCTTGTATATTTCAGGCAAGGGCTCTCTCACTGAGCAGCACTCCCAGCCCCCAGACACATTTTAATTAGACCTGCTCATAATATTTATATATTTTTTTAATTTTTTGGGTTTTTCAAGAAAGGGTTTCTCTGTGGCTTTGGAGGCTGTCCTGGAACTAGCTGTTGTAGACCAGGCTGGTCTTGAACTCACAGAGATCCGACTACCTAAGCCTCCTGAGTGCTGGGATTAAAGGCGTGTGCCACCACCGACCGGCCATATTTATATTTTATTGATTGTTTAGTTCAAAAATCATGTACTGGTTATTCCATCAATATTTGTTCATTTTAAGTTTTGTTTTTAAAATTAATTTGTTTTTATTTTTTACATGTGTGCATGCATGCACCCATGCAGGCAGGAGTCATACTCCTGCTATAGCTCACAGAGGTCATAGGACAGCTTTCAGGAATCCACACCACCTGCTGGTCAAGGCTAACAATGTCTTTCTTGTTTCTGGGCTACACACTCCAGGTTATCTGGCCTGCAAGCTTCCTGCCATCCTCCTGCCTCTACCTCCCATCTAGCTGTAGGAATGCTGGGATTACAGATACGCTCAACCCCATCTGGTTTTCTACTTGGGACCTGGGGCTTGAACTCTGGTCTTCCCCACTGCCTGAGACTGGTGTTCTCTGAGGCACCAGCTTTAAAAAGTGGTTTGCTTTCTCCATGAAGAAAAAAAAAAAAAAAAGTGAACGTGCCAGCCTGGTCCCTGTATTCTAGTGAATGATGTCAGGCAAAGGGCAGGGTCTCTCTGATAATTGTGTAGGGCACATTTTAATTATGAGGATTGTTAATATTATCACCGATTGCCCTCAGCATGGTTCTGTTTGTCTTGGCAGCTTCATATCAGTATTTATTCCTAGCTTGACCATCCCTACCCGCAGTTTCCTCAGCAAGGAGCCCGCTCTGCTTTCATAAAAACATACACAGAAGTGAAGCTGAGTTGATGAGACAAGTGTTCAGAGGAAAGAACGACAAAAACCATGTTGTTGGAGAGTAGATTTCACGCCTCCTAATGTTTGACAGCAGGCTGTACTGTCACCAACACCGAGAAAGCAGTTTCACTGAGTTTCCAAACTGAATACAATTGGAAACAGAAAATCCTCCTGGGAGTGGTGTTCCCCAGGCTTCTTGGCTTTTGGGGGAGCCTTTTGTCACTCGTTTGTGTATGCACATATGTGTGCAGCTGGCAATAACTCAGACTCAGAAACAAACTTGCCATTCAGAAGCTGCTGCCAACCCTGGGCGGGGAGTGCAAACAGCAGCCCGTATTGGGAAAGAAGTCTGGGTGGCATGTTGCAAAAGAAAACCCAAAGTGATTTTCCATTATGTGGCTGAAGAGAAAAACATTTACCATCGTCTGTCTCTGAGTCTGGGGAGATGAGCAAAAGAGAAAACCTCAGCTCTCCTTCCACTTTCCAGATGTTTATGCCCTTTCATTTTTTCCAGTCACTCTGACAACATTCTGAGGGACGCTGGGCACCCTTGAGTCACCATGGGCAACGAGAACAGCACCTTGGACCACCAGGTGGGTTCAGGAGGCTTCTCCGCCTCCCACTGCACAGCTCTCTTGACTACATTGCCCAACCTGCCCCTCCTCGCCCCCAACATCTCTGTCCATCAAAAGGCAAGGGAAGACACAGCCTCCTCCTGGATCCATGTGGTGTATTTGTACCTGTGAGGCCATTTCGTCATTACATTTCCAGAATCCCTTTAGCACTACAGCTAGTCCCATTTTACAAGTCATGAACACTAATTTTTATCCTGTGCTTTTAAAACTGATGTAATGAGATGAGCACATTTTCTCCCGGTTGTATCTACTCAGCAACTTCCATGGAGTCAACAGAGATTAAAATGATTTGCAAATGTATGAATGCAGAGCTGATTTAATGCAGATAGTTGTTTTACAGTCAGAAAAGGTTTCACAGTTGAAGAATGGACTTTTAACTGTTTTATTTTGTAAGTCTGGGATAATACATATCCAAATTTTGCCATTATCCATTTTAAGTTTAAGGGTATCAGCTTAATGCCCTGGTGAATAAAGTCAGAGACACTTTCCCATTGACTCTGACTCAGAGTGAACATTTTAGATTAGTGGTATGGACCTCTTTGATTGAAGAAACTGGATTTAAAAAGCAGCCTCGGGCTGGGGAATATTTTTGTTGATGAAGTGCATGCTACTCAAGTATGTGGACCTGAATTTGATCCTACAGAACCTATATATAAAGCCAGGTTCAGTGGCATGCATGTTTAGTCCCAGCACTGGGGAGGTGGAGATAGGAGGACCCATCCCCTGGAGCTCATTGGCCAGCCAGCCTGGTAGAATGGGAAAATTTCCGTTTCAGTGAGAGACCTTGTCTCAAATAACAAAGTGAACAGTCCCTAAGGAATGACATTCAGGATTAAGTACCCTGTACACACAAGAGCGTGCGCGCGCGAAATAACAAAGTGAACAGTCCCTAAGGAATGACATTCAGGATTAAGTACCGTGTACACACAAGAGCGCGCGCGCGCGCGCGTGCACACACACATACACACACACACACATACACACACACAATTTAAAAATAAACACAAGGCAGTCAATTGCCAATTGTTTTCTCAATTCGTTCTCCCAAATGATCTTCTCTCAGGCAGGGAAGTATCAGTGTGAAAAGAAAACAAGTGGCAAACTCTAGGAATTTTAGGGGACAGGCAAGAAGCAATAGCTGTGGGTATGAGACAATAGGGAGGAGTAAGAACTGTGGCAAACAGGTGGGGCTGGCCTAATGGAGGCAGCTGCCACCGACTCCAGCTGATTGTGGTTGTTAGACCCCTGGAAAACTCAGGTATCCGAGGTCCCAGGCCACGACGGCGGTCACCCCAATCACCAGGCAGATTCGAGAGCTTGCTGCAAACTGCATGAGGCTATATTGTTTTTTAACGAGCTAACCCCGTGTTAGCTTGGGTCTTTCACCCACCCGCCATGGTGGATGGCTAGCAAAGACAGCTCCTAGGGGCTGCCGAGAGATCTTGTTGGGCAGCGTAAGGGGAGTGTCTAGGGGTACACACAGGCTCAGGATTGGTGTGCCTCCAGGCTTGGAGGGCTTGCCCTGTGTTGATTGGCCAACTGGTTGTTATGGCCCATAGGCCCTCCCATGGTGGTTGCTATGCTTTGTACGTCATTGCTGTGCACTTGTCTGTAAAGCATAGTGCCACCAGCTAATTTCTGATTGGTTCCTTGCCACGAGGCAGGGATCTGACTTTCTAATGACTAGGACAAGGTCAAACAAGCATGTGTTCAGCTGTTATGGCTGCCAACAGTGGCAGGCATCTGACCTTAGTGACTAAGACAAGGTCAGACAAGCTGTTATGGCTGCCGAAATGGGAAGCCGGTCCCTTCATGGACATGGGCAAAAGTGGGCCCAGTGCAGCAGGATTTTATTTGTTCAAAAGAAGTTAGAAGCCTATAGTTTTCTATGAAGTCTTTAATGGTTTTTTAATGCATTTTATTTACTTAGTGTGTGTCTGTATCTGTGTCTGTGTGGAGGCATGCACACACCACAGCACATACATAGAAAAGACAACTGAAATAAGTCAGTTCTCTCCTTCTACCATGTGGGTCCTGGAGACCACACTCAGGTCTTCAAACGTAACAAGTGCCCTTGCTCACTGAGCCATCTTGTTGGCTCACAAATTTCTTTTTAGCTTTTTAATTTAAGATAATGGTGAACTTGTATATAGTTTAAAAAATACAAAGAGAGAGCTTCAAGGGTGACATCTTACAAAATTATTCTACAGTTTCACAGTAGACATTGAGATGGCCAAGGTTGAGAGCCTTTCCATAGCCAGGTTCTTCGTTCTGCCCTTTATAGCCACCCCCACTTCTCTCCTGTCTATCACCCATAACTCTGGCAACTGACTATTTACAGTTTTATCATTTCAAGAATATTATAGAAGTAGGGTCTGTGGTGGTTTGAAAGTAATTGCCCCCCCATAAGCTCATAGGGAGTGGCACTATTAGAAGGTGTGGCTTGATTGTGAAAGACCCCCGGAGGCTCAGGCCCCCAGGATCTCGGTCCAGGAACTCAGCCACCCCAATCACCATGCGGAGGCGAAAGCTTGATGCAAACAGCAAGAGGCTTTATTGCAGTTGTTTAACGAGCTAACCCCATGTTAGCTCGGGTCTTTCATCTACCCACCATGGCGGATGGCTAGGCAAGAAGGCACTGCATAGAGATCTTATAGGGCAGCGTAAGGGGAATGTCTAAGGGTACGGGGAGTGTCTAAGGGTACGCACAGGCTCAGGATTGGTGTGCCTCCAGGCTTGGAGGGCCTGCCCTGTGTTGATTGGTCAACTGGAGGTTATGGCCCATAGGGTGGTGGTTATGCTCTGTGTGTCATTGCTGTGCACTTGTCCGTAAAGCATACCCAGAGCCATAAAGCATAGCACCACCAGCTAACTTCTGAATTGTTCATTGCCACGAGGCAGGCATCTGACCTCCTAGTGACCAAGGCAAGGTCAGGCAAGCACGTGTTCGGCTGTTATGGCTGCCAAAAATGGAGAGCTGGTCCGTTCAATTGGAGTAGGTGTGGCCTTGTTGGGGGATCATTATGGGGGTGGGCTGTGAGGTTTCCTATGCTTAAGTGTACCACCCAGTGTTGAAGAATTTCCTGTAGGCTTCAAGTCAACATGTAGCAGCTCCTTTTCCAGTACCATGCCTGCCTGCATGCCACCATGATGCTAATGGACTAAATTTCTGAACTGTGTTTTCCCTTATAAGAGTTGCTGTTGTCATGGTCTCTTCACAGTAATAGAAACCATAGCTAAGACAGAATCAGACAGCATGTTATCTTTTAGAACTGGCTTTTTTCCCCCCAGTGGGCAGAATGCTTGTGTAATAGAGTCTGTTCTCCATCATTTTGGAATTGTCCATGCTATGGAGGTGCAATACAGTTTTCAGGTCATTCTTCCATTGAACCATATCTGTTTTGTTTCTAGTTGGCTATTCCAAATGAAGTTGTCATGTGTATTTATGTATAGGCACACATGCACACACGTGTGTGTGTGTGTGTGTGTGTGTGTGTGTGTGTGTGTATTCATTTTCATTTTTCTGAGATAATCACCCAAGCGTTCATTGCATGCATAGTTTCATTGTCAAACTGTTTCCCAGTCACTATGTTCCCCAGTCTCTATGTTTTCCAGTTACTATGGTTCCCAGTCACTATGTTTTCCAGTTACTATGTTCCCCTGTCACTATGTTTCCCAGCCATCATGTTTCCTAGTCACTATGTTTCCTAGTCACTATGCTTTCTTACCTTCCCACAATACACTAAGATTAGTTTCCCTGCATCTGAAAAGCATCAGTAGAACTCCCTTAGACTGCCTTGCTCTGTCCTGTGTGAGTGGGAATCAGTCACTGAAGAAGCCAGGCATGCTGTACAGGCCACTATCCATTAGCCACTTAGTAGCAGTCTCGGGTACAGACCAATCATACTATAATGCTGTCTTTAAGCTACCCTTTCATAGCAGCCCAAATCTACATCACAGTGCCCAGCATGCACCACTCTCCAATCATCCCCTAGACACTATCATCTTACACCATCATATGAAGGGTACAAATGGTACAAATGATGTTTGAGGCTTGGAGAGAGGCCAAGAGCGCTTGCTGCTCATACAGAGGACAAGAGTTTAGTTCCCAGCACCATGTCAGGCAGCTTACAAATACCTTATAATTCCATCTCGAGGGTATCCCAGTGCCCTCAGAATTCTGGCTTCTTTGGACATCTGCACTTACATTTACACACACACACACACACACACACACACACACACACACACACACGTGAATTTTTTAAAAAGATGTTTGAAGGAGAAAAAGACACCAGGCATAATATTTACTATAGTATATTGTCTTAATTATTTTTTATTAATTACTGTTGCTATTCTCCTAGTTGACTACTTTGTAAGTAAACTTCATCAGAGGTCTGTATGTTCAGCAAAGAGCAGAATCAATGAAGGTTCAGTGCTACACACTGTTTCTACCCACCTTGCAGCCTCCAGGGTCTAGGAGTGTATGAGGATAAGGGACAACTAATCTCTTTGGCAAAATATCTTTTGCTCATTAAAAAAAAAAACTATTTCCTTTTTCTTCTGTCTCTGTCTCTCTCTCTCTCTCTCTTTAAGATTTATTTATTATGTATACAGTGTTCTGTCTGCATGTGTCCCTGCAGGCCAGAAGAGGGCACCAGAGCTCATAACAGATGGTTGTGAGCCATCATGTGGTTGCAGGAATTGAACTCAGGACCTCTGGAAGAGCAGTCAGTGCTCTTAATCTCTGAGCTATCTCTCCAGCCCCCTCTTTTGCTCATTTTATAAATGTTCTTATTATGTTAGTGTTGGATTTTGGGAGTTCCTTTTTTGTTTGTTTTTGTTTTTGTTTTTGTTTTTTGAGACAGGGTTTCTCTGTGTAGCTTTGGAGCCTATCCTGACACTTGCTCTGGAGACCAGGCTGGCCTCAAACTCACAGAGATCCACCTGCCTCTGCC